ATGAGCTATGGATTACATTGCAAAGAATGGATGTTCAACATTTAATTGTGCTCATGAGGAGTCATTAGAACAGAACAAGTGAATACTGGGCTGTTAATGACTTTTCCTCTAATCCTGATGCCATGTCATTTTTCATATACTCTGGCTTCTTGGATTATTTGCTCTGTCAAGACTGAGTAATTAAGGTGAAAGGAAATAATCCTGATGCATACCTTTTCCAATTCTGAACCATGTAGCGCATACCCTTGTTCTGTTAGTACTACGGAATCATGCTCAGTATATGTCAGTTTATTGTTTGAATTGGATCCAAATAAGATTCAAAATATGTAATAATTTGACATGTTTTACATATTTCTTTATATAATTCCTCTTCATATTTATCACTTTTTCTTAATTCTTACATTGATTGTTGTTATTGTTAAAGAAATTGGGTTGTTTACCTGTGGCGATGTCCACACTCCAGGTTTTGCTAGTTGGATACAGCCATGCCATAGTTTAACATATTTCTTGGCCCTTTTGTATTTCCTATAACTACTAGTTAGATATAGATGCTAGGTAATTTGGGTTTTAGGCAAGAAGGATTTCAGGAGTGGGCGTTTGCATGTCTCTCAGAAAGTATATCAGCAATGTCTTTATTTTTGTAATGTCCATAGCCACTGATGACTGCCAGCCCTTATTGTAATAACTCACTATTTTGATTGTAGCTAATATTCATTTTGATTCTGCATGGACAGCTCAGGGGGATAATATTGCTTGCATGTTATCTTACTTGCATCCATTTTTACTTGAAGGTCAGTTTGGCTATACAAATTGACTAGAAATTCTCTCACTTTATTAGGACCTTAGTCAATTTCCCTATATACCCAAAGATGCTTGTTTGCTTTTCTTAAGAATTTATCAGGTTGAATTTTTCTTAAAATTTATAATGGTTTTGGTCTTCTGGTTAAGTCTTCCTACATATTTATTGTATCCTTTCTAGTAAATTAATTTTTGGAACATATCTAAAGTCATAGTTTTAGTATTTGGGATTTTCTATTTCCTTGTTAATTTTCACCTTTTAGATGCATGTTGGAACATCTTTGCCTTTATGTTATATCTTTCACTTTCTTTCAGAATATTTTTATCACTTCAAATTCACTGATCTTTAGCACAATATGATTAGTTTTGGCAATTTCATACAGCTGTGCAATCCCCATATTTCCCAAGATATAGGGCATTTGCATCACTCTAGTAAGTTCTGTCATGAGTTTTCTCAGTAAATACCCCATTTCAGTCTGAGGCCTAAAATACTTTTATCTGTTTTAGACTATGATATACATTTAAATTTTCATGTTTTTTAATATAAAGCTTTTTTTTCATTTGCTTGTATTTCTTTTAAGTTATGATTCACCACATTTACTCACTGCTGTGTCACCTCTGGTTTAGTCTTAGTTTATAAAGTCACTTGTTCTTTTATTTCTGATTCTTTCCTGAGCTCTGTTTATATCTCTTTTTATTCTTTTCTAAAACTAAATTGCTTCTGATACTTTTTAAATTCTGATGTATGTTGTTTTCTCACAGTTTCTTTCATTTACTCACTTCCTTTTTGCTCATTTTGAAATGCTAGCTTTCATTCCATGTTAGCATGACTTCCTGACATGTTCATTGTCTAACTAGAATTGTAATGGTTTGTATATTTATACTTTTTTAAGTGATTTGACTTTTGATATTATAAACTCCTCCTCTCTAACTCCAGCAAGCATCTAGTGCCTTGCAATAATAAGTGACTGATAAATATATATTTTATTGAGATGAAACCCAGCTTACTGTGATCAATATGAAAAATTTACCACTTTATGAAAAAGCCATGTCTAATTGCCTCAAACCCGTAAGAGTCTTGAACAAGAAATACAATTCAATTCAGTAAAGCTGAAAGAGACTTTAAAGCTTTTTTTTCTCAACTGCTTTATTAATTATTTCACTTTCATAACCAATTTGCCCAAGTTCATATAGACATTTGGTAACAAGACTAAGGCTGAATTTTAGACCTTCATTTAGTCTAGTGTTCTTTATACCATGATAGTCTCAAAGTAAAGGGAAACATGCTTCATTACTAAAAATTATATATAAGATGTTCCATTCCTTCTTCTCTTGTTTCCTTCCTTTCTCCACAGTTTTTTGATAGTCACTTACCCCTGTGAGCAGGTGTGTATTTTGCTAACTCATCAGGGATGTACTTAGGAAACAGGAGAACGGGGAGTGACTATGAGACTCACACATTGGGGACATGGAGATCATTGGTTAATCCTGTCTCCTGCGTCAACTGCCACCTTCAATAAAGAAACAGATGTAGCATGGTTGAACAGTGGTACACTCTGATACATGTCCTCTGCCACACTGTCATAAAAATGGACTCCATGCCTCACCAAGAGGGTGAAAGGGGAACTCAGTTATTGATGCAGACCAGAGTTTTGTCTGTAGAAGGTAACATCTTAGACATAATAAAGAATTTTTGCTCAGAAATAAAAGATCATGTGAGAGGTTTTCTTCTTTGTAGCCACTCATTTTGAATGTCATGAACTATGGGAAGAAATAAACAGTACAACCAAAAGTATCTGCTGAAAAGGACATTGAAAAACAACAATATCATTGGAGTAAGACTCCAGAATATATTAATGAGAAGACAGATTGTTAATGGTAATATCGCTAAAGGCATTCTCTTCCAGTTTTATACATGAACTGATAAACTCAGGTTGGGGGAGGGCTGATAGCAGGTCAGAGTGGATAGACTTAAGCATGGAAATAAATGAGCTAGAAGGAATTAGAAGTTAATAACAATATATATGGCAAGTCAGTTTGTGTTGAAAAAGACAGATAGAGACTACAGATACAATAAAATTCTGTTAGTTTGAACTACTTCCATAAATATTTCAGTCTAGGGAACACTTTGGGACTGTTCTAGTCAGATTTATAGGGTCACTTTGAATCGGAGTCTACTCAATGACATATGAGACCAACAGTTTCACTCCTTTCATTCATTCATGGTGATGGTGGTGGTTGTGTGCTGTGGAGACGGTTCCAACTCTCAGCAACTGTATATAGGATTTCCAAGGCTGTACATTTATACCAGATTAGAAAGTCTTGTCTTTCTCCCAAAGAGTGACTTGGAGATTCAAACTACTAATCATTCAGTTAGCAGCCCAACTCGTAACCCACTATATTACCAGGGGTCCTTTTGACATTCATTCATATTTTTTCATAATTTATATTTACGAAAGTTATAAAAGTAGCTTCAATAAGTAAAAAACAAAACTAAACAAAGCCTGTTGTCATCAAGTCAATTCCCATTCATGGCAACCCCATGTGTTGGGGTTACAGAGCAGAACTGCTTCAGGGTCCATAGCATTTTCTGGACTGTGATCTTTATGAGAGTAGATAAGCAGACTTTTATTCAATGATGTTGCTAAATAAATTTGAATTGTCAATCATTGGTTAGTAGTCAAGTGCAAACCCTTTGCCCCACCTAAGGACTCCAATAAGTATATTTGATTGTGTTGATATGTACATATAAGGCATTTTTGAGATGAGGAATTTTGTCCACATAGGAGAATAAAGTATTGCTACAAAATCATTTATTAAACAAAAATATCAAAATGGGAGGCTATTATTTCTCAGCATATCCTCAGTTTAGATCTAAACACTTCTGAAGGTGGTATTTCCATGTCTCTACCCCTTTGTGGTGTGGCACTGTAGGATCAGCACTGGGCTGTGAACCACAAGGTTCAAACACATCAACTGCTCCTCAGAAACCCGGTCCAGGGTTGCTATGAGTCAGAATTGACTCAATGGCATTCAACAACAACAATCCCTTCCCTGAAGTGCTCTACTGGGATTTACACCATATCAAAATAACAGGTTGGGCATCCTTGAGGGCCTCAAATTGTGCACCTTTGCAATGTTCTTTGAGTTTGGGGAATATAAAGAAGTCTGGAGGAACAAGCAGCATTGAAGAGTAGCTGGTTTAAACCTCCCAATGAAATTCTCATAGGACAGCCTGTGCTACTCTTAAAGAATGAGCCTTGTTGCCTTGTTGTGATAGAAGAAAGTCTTCAGTGTAATTTTCTTTGCCTTTATCTAACTAATACAGTTTTTAATTTTCTTAAAGTTTCTTACAATAAGCCCCTTGTGATCATCCTGTGTCCTTCAAGAAAATCTATCAAGATTGCCCATCGGGAGTCCTAAATAATAATCGCCATAACCTTCTGGGTGGACTTCTCTGCCTCGATTTTAATGGGTGTAGCAGACCCCCTTGGAAGGCACTATTTTGACTGAACCTTTTGTTTGAGGGCACCATTACAAGACTAAGACAAGTATATAGATGAAAGAACTTGTCTGCATTCATCTACTGATTGCAGAGACATGTTTAAAGACATTTTGTTTGGAATAAGTCCATGCATACATGAATTGAAACCCTAGTAGCAATATATATAATTTTTTTTAACTAACCTTAGCATTAGACTAATGATGTGGGTCTTCATACCATCTGTCTTTCAAATCTGTGTGGGATGTTATTTAAATCCTTTCACCTTGAATGCATATTTCTCTGTTTGAATGAATAGCATGGACTTGAAAAGAGCCAGTGCTAATTGCAAATTTATTAACATTTATCCTCCTGTGGACCAGCTAGATGCTAATGGGATTGTTTTCCATGTTGTCAGGCTATTTGCTGGTGACTGTAGGCTCCTCTATAGCACCTCCACAGTTTGGAAGCAGAAACTTTATATAGATGCGAATAACCAATTTCTGGCTTCCTCTAGCTGGTTGCCCTGATAGAGCCTTTTTAAAATTCAAGCAACAGGCAGGCCTGACTATTGTCTGATTCCCCAAACTGCTGTGCATATTAGCTGACTCGTATAGTCAGGAACAAGGGTATAGTTGATGTGGTTTTCTGGTCTCATCTCTGTCTCCTCCGCCTCCAGGAGAAATGGACCCATGAGCTTACCCAACAGGAGGAGGGCACCATGCAGAGCGCCATGGAGCAGAGGAGTGTGCTGGTACGCAGTAAAATCAGTGATGCTGGCAAGAGGAATGGCCTGATTAACACCAGGAACTTGATGTCAGAGAGCAGAGATGGCCTGGTGTCCATTTACCCAGCTCCTCAGTATCAGAGTCGCCGGGTAGTGACTGGCACCACACCAGCTGTCCTAGGTGGCAGCAGAAATGAGCCAGTCCAGCAGTTGTTAGACCCCAACATCCTTCAGCAGTCAGTGGAGTCCCACTACCACCCCAACATCATTCTCTACTCAGAGGGTATGCTGCGTTCCTGGGGGGATGGCATGGCCACTGACTGTTGTGAGACCTCCTTCATTGAAGACTGTTCACCCACCAAAGACAGCCTGGAGTACCCCGATGGGAAATTCATGGAACTCGCAGGTGACGACATCAAAATCCACACCCTGTCCTACGACGTGGAGGAAGAGGAGGATTTCCAGGAATTGGAGGTCAGAGGATGTGTGTCAGCTCTCGTTTTCATGGGCCTTCTGGGATGGCACTGTGAGGATTTGGTGGGGACCCATGAATGCTAGGCAACAGTTAAGCAATAAAACCAGTGCACAAAAAGGCAGAGAAATGGAAGACATTGTCAATGCCTCTTAGCTCTTGAATGTTTGTGAAAGATGGAAGGAGTTGAAAAGTCCAGATGCATGAAGACCTAATGGATCAGTGATTCTAGTCAGAGGGGAGCAGACTGTAGAGTGGAGTTTCAGATAGATTTAAGGGTGGCCATCATTGATGGGCTAGTTGGGGAATTTCTATTATCTACCATCTCAGCAAAAATGAGTAGGTGAGTGTGATGATGGTCCTAGAACCACACAAGGCTGGAAATGTATGTGTGGGTTCAATTTGGGAATTGCTCTTGCTGTCTAATGTGATTTCTTTAATTTGGCATTCCAAAATCCTTAGTAAGGGATTGTTATTATAGCTAAAACCTTCTGGAAGAAATCATAGAAATTGAAGCATAAAGGGAAGATGGCTTGAGTTATATGCATCACTTCTTTAGTAGATGGGAGGACAGTTAAAAGTGTTTGAAGTACATGTGTAGTAATGTGTACACTGGGCAATGGTCTCTGGTTGGTGTTACATCTCCTCTTCTTTAAAATGGCATTGGGTGGGAGATGGAAGGTGTTGATGCTGCATAGGCATGAAGGGGTGGGTCTGGGCCAAAGGATGAGGTATTTATCAGCTGGGAGGTGACTGCTGAAATTTAAGAAGGTACGTTCACTACGGTGAGAATCTTCAGATGTGACTGATCGTACAGAGGTCACATGCTTAAAAGGTTTGTGGGGAAGGAAGCTGTGGAGCAGGTATGGTTTTGGGAGGAAGTGTAGTCAAAGGGAAAGGATGTCTGTTTTGACTCAGGTAGGCAGAACTATTTTATAGGTGGTGGGAATGTTCAGAAAAAAGGAAGCCAGTCAGGAACAACGAGGGTATAGTTTATCGCAGGATCAAGGTGGCTGTGGGGTCCAGTACTGGGGAGGCAAGAAGGCCTGGCCTTTTATGGGATGTCTCAAAGTAGAAAAGTAGAGAAAGGAGGGAGTCCATGTTTTCTGGTTGTACACACAGACAGAAGGATTTGGGGTATGAATACTTTTGGACAGCTCAAAGCAGCTGTCTGAAGGAAGTGATTGTAAGATTGTTGAAGAGATGGCTAGGCTGCAGTGTAAGTCAGTTTGGAGCTTTGGTCTGATCTGCAATTCCTGACTCTCTGTAGCAGGTAAAGCTCTAGCAAGGATTAAACAGTCTGACTTCAACAAAGGGGAAGCAAAAGATTTCAAGATGGGGAAAGGAAGATCTTTTAGATCATGGGCTCCATGCTGAACAGAAATACAAGTGAGGTCATAAGGAATCGTTGAATCAAACAAGCTGCAAAGCCAAGTACCAAAAGCAGCTAGAGAAATGGTTTCAGTAAGGAGGACAATTCAGAAATGGAAAAATGAAGTCAGATGCTGCAACAGCCTAATTAATGATGGAGCACATGAAAGTGGCTGGTGGAACTGAGAGAAACTGTTAGTGTGGAAGAGATGGAGTCAGAGGAGACTCAGGATTTCTTAAAGATTTGAGAAAGTCAGCAGAATGCTTTGACTTAAGTTTAAAAAGCACATATGTTGTTGTTGTTGTTAAGTGCCGTAGAGTAAGTTCTGACTCATAGCTATCCTTTTTAGGATCCCCAGGGAGTGGCTGGTGGGTTTGAACCACCAACCTTGTGGTTAGCAATCCAGAGCTTATCCTACAGCGACACATCAGGACTCCATATACAAGGAAGCTTCAAAACGTGCTTGGAAAAATGGAATTAAAAGATAATGGAATTTTTCCCAAACTACTTGAAGACCCCTCATGTTTTTATTGTTGTCAGATGCTGTCAAGTTGGTTCTGACCCATAGTGATCCTATGTACAACAAAATGAAACCCTGTCCAATCCAGTGCAGTCTTCACAATGGTGCTATACTTGAGCCCATTGCTGCTGCCACTGTGCCAATCCATCTCATTTTGGGGGGGGGTCTCCCTCTTCTTCTCTTTCCCTCCACTTTACCAAGCATGCTGTCCTCCTCCAGGGACTGGTCCCTCCAGATAATATGTCTGAAGTATGAGATGATGAAGTATCGCCATCTTGGCTTCTAAGAAGCATTCTGATTGTACATCTTCCAACACAGATTTGTTTGTTCTTCTGCATTCCTGTGGTACAGTTAATATTCTTCTCTAACATCATAACTCAAATGCATCAGCTTTCTTTTTACAATCTTCTTTATTCATTGTCCATCTTTCGGATGCATATGAGGCTATTGAAAATATCATGGCTTGGGTCAGGTGCATGCATGTTAGTCCTCACACTCCTGGTATCTGCTCTTGACCACTTTCAAGACGTTTTGTACAGCAGATCTCCCTGATACAATACATCGTTTGATTTCTGAACTGCACTTCCATGAATGTTGATTGTGGATCCAAGCAAAATGAAATCTTTGACAACTTCAATCTTTTCTCCATTTATATGGATGTTATTTATTGGTCCAGTGGTAAGGATTTTTGTATTTTTTACATTTAGATGCAATCTGTACTGAAGGCTGCAGTCTTTGATCTTCATCTGCAATCCTTTTAAGTCCTCTTTATTTCCAACAAACAAGGTTGTATCATCTGTATATCACAGACTGTTAATGAGTCTTCCTCCAACCCTCATTCCACATTCTTCTTCATATAATCCAGCTTCTAGGATTATTTGCTCAGCATACAGACTGAAGAAGTACGGTGAAAGAATACAACCCTGACACACATCTTTTCTGATTTTAAGCCATTCAGTAGTCCCTTGTTTTGTTTAAACTACTGCCTCTTTTTCTTTATTCAGGTTCCTCATGAGCACAATTAAGTGTTCTGAAATACTTGTTCTTTGCAATGTTATCTGCAGTTTGTCATGATCTGCACAGTCAAAAGCCTTTACATAGTCAATAAAGCACAAGTAAACATCTTTCTTGTATTCTCTGCTTTCAGCAAGTATTCATCGGATGTCAGCAAAAATATCCCTCTTTCCACATCCTCTTCTGAATCTGGCTTGAATTTCTGGCAGTTTCTCTGTCTATGTACATTTACGCTGTTTTTGAATTATCTTTAGCAAAATTTTACATGTATGTGATGTTAAAGGTATTGTTTGATGAATTCCATTGGGGCACCTCTCTTTGGAATGAGAATAAATATGAATCTCTTCCAATCAGTTGGCCAGGTAGCTGTCTTCCAGATTTCTTGGCAGAGATGAGTAAGCACCTCCAGTGCTGCATCAGTTTGTTGAAAGATTTCAATTTGTAGTCCATCCATTCCTGGAACCTTGCAATGTCTTCAATGCATTTCCGACTTCCCCTTACAGTACTTTTTATTTTATGCTACCTCTTGAAATGGCTGAACACCGCCCATTTCTTTTTGGTGCCATGACTCTGTGTATACCTTACATCTTCTTTTGATGCTTTCTGTACCATTAAGTATTTTGCCCATAGAATCTTTCTGTATTGCAAGTTGAGACTTGAAATTTTTCCTTCCATCCTTTCAGCTTAAGAAATACTGATCATGTTCTTCCTAGATCTAACATATTGTTATTGTTGGTATTGCTGTCAAGTTTGTTGGGACTCATAGTGATCCTGAATAGGATTTCTGAGGAGCAGCTAGTGGGTTTCAACTGCTGACTTTGTGTTTCATAGTTCAGTTCTCTTTCTGCTGCTCCACCTAGATCTAAGGTATGCATCAGCAATAGAAGGTTTGGCATACTTACAAATTAAAATGTAAAAGAAATCTCTGAGTATCTTCATCATTACTTGCTCAGTTGTATGTACTTTATTCCTTCCCTCCTTCACTCAATAGCCATACACTTTCCTTGAATAACTCTGATATGTTAATGTCACTGGAAGATGAACAGGTAATTAAAATATCGCCTTTGTCTTATGTTCACCTCACAAAATATTCTTCAAAATGATCTTACTTTTCTTTAAGACTTGCATGGACTTCCGATTAAGCTTGCAAATTAATACATACAATATTTAAACATAAATATTTTATTCATAAAATGTCGAAATCTACATTTTGCACATCAGTTGCTAAATTAATTTCATTTTAACAAGTTTCATACAGTGACCTCAGCCAATAGATGTAGTCTATGGATGTAGTCAAAGGCCTGAGACCCTCAGACAGTGTCTTACATTACATTACATGACAGGAGATGAGGAGATGGGACAGACTTGTTCTTCTCAGTTAGTCCAAAGCTTTGACCAGGGGAAATGGTGTAGACTTCTAGGAATGCCCATTACTACCCTATTATCTCCCCTATCCTAGTAGTGGAGTCCAGGTGTGGTACTGTAGGATAAGCACTGGACTGCTAACCACAAGATTTGTGGTTCAGACACACTCACCACTCCTTGGCAACCTCAAAGAGGGTTGCTATGTGTCAGAAGCAACTTGACAGTATTTAGCAACGATAGCAACAGCATCCTAGTAGCCATAGGCCCACTAAAGAGTCCTTTTTTTCTCCCTTAAATTTTTATTTTGTTTTTGCTGAAAATCTGTACAGTAAAACATGCACCACTTCAACAGGTTCTACTTGTACATATAATTGAGTGCCATTGATTATGTTCTCTGAGTTGTGCAAGTATTCTCACCCTCTTTTTATTAGTTATTCTGCCCTCATTAATATAAACCCAATCACCCTAATGTTTTGAGTTGCTGTTTTCAATTTGATTCCATGCAGGTAAAACAGAATAATCATCAAGGCAATTTTACTAGTTAATCTGAATTATTATTTGATTTTAAGAAGAACTCAGAGGATATTTTTGGTTCACAGTTAATGATGATGGTACGGCAATAGTTTTGGTGATTCGTAGCTCTCCATAGTCCCAGAAAGTCTGGAGTCCATAAAAATGTGAAATTCTATTCTACATTTCTTCTTTCATTTCTGTCCATAGAATCCTTTAAT